GGTTTATTAATTCAATATTAGTTTAATGCCAGAATACTTTTTTTTTTTTTTAAACTAAAGTAAAAATAAGATTGTTTTTAGTAATACAAAAGACTAGCTGTGAAAAACTGTTTTAAAAAATGTAATGAAGACTTTGAAATTACTTAAGTCTTTAGACAATGTGTCCTACATCCTAGACAATACTATAATATTAAACATTTGAAAATGGATGTTTTGTCATATCAAGACAAAGACTGACTTAAGACCGCTAGGAGGGATTGTTATGAGCAACTAGCACCAAGCAATTAAGAACAACTCTGGCTCATATTTTACTTCCGACATAGAAAATGTGCCTGTGACAATAACATCGTTAGTAAAAGTAGTATTGTGTTAGGTTGCTTTTCTTTTTTCTGTGAGGTTTGAAGTGAAACCAACTTGGGACTAAATGTTCTTAAGTGCACAAAGTGTTGCCTCGTGAATATCCTTCCTAAAAGACAGTTTTGCTTCAGGATCATTTCCCCACCCCTCCCTCTTCCTGTCATTGCATGATGCCATTTTGATTTTGTGTCTAACTTGGCTCTTCTGTCACAGATTTGCCAAACTGTTGCTGCGGTTACCGGCGCTGCGCTCCATCGGCCTCAAGTGTCTGGAGCACTTGTTCTTCTTCAAGCTCATCGGCGACACGCCCATCGACACGTTCCTCATGGAGATGCTAGAAGCACCGCATCAAATGACATAATAGCAGAGAGGGTTGAGCCCTCCTCACCCCCTCTCCCCCTCCTCAAACAGCCCTGGTTCTTTTTCAAAAACAATCTCCAGCAGGGGACAGATTGAGTAATGACTTTGGATGGAGAACCTCTTCCCATCCCTCCCTACCCTTTCCCCTTGAAAAACAATGAATTCTTCACATCTGTGGGTCGGTTTTATACCTTGTAAAAATATATAAATAAGAAATATATATATAAGACAAGTCACACGGCAACACATGGACTTAAAGCGGAAAAAAAGAAACATATTGAGCCATCGTTTTCATCCTTGCTTTCTCCTACTCTTGGACGAGATTAAGGTGATCGGGTTTTTAACACCCACAGTAATGCTTGCAGGTATTTTGAAGAAAAGAAACGGCGATGTCATATTTGGATTCTCAGCGGGACAATCGTGGATTTAGAGAGCCTTGGGCTGCTTCGGCATGGACCTGAGCCCTTTCTCTCTTTCAGGACTACATTTTTAGGGAGGGACGCTAAGGGGAGGGGGTGAGGACAAGGTAAAGGATGTTTTCCCGCCTGGCTCCTGAACACGACAGGTCTTGCACTAGCTGAAGTTTCCTGGAGTCAAACTCAGACTGCGAGTGCTCAAAACCCTCAGGACTCAATTCCAACAAATACAACCATGTCTTACTCTGTCAGCACTGTGCGACCCGGGTGGAGGACGACGACAAAAGACTTCACTAATCAGCCCTTCAGTTAACGCTGTACAATCCGTGCTGAGGCACACGGGAAGACCAGGCCGTTGTATATTAGCTTTAAGCTACACCATGCTCTGACAGGCTACCAGCAGGCACAGGAACAACATTTACCATCCTTCATTTCGAACAATGTCGGACCTTTTGTCGGCGGTCTCCCTGCTCCTGTTTTCGTCCCTTCTCCAACCTCCACATCTCATTTCATGTGAATTTCAACACACCGTTTTGTTTACCACCTCCACACTCAGAAATCCCTCCACGCAGCGGATGTTTCCTCATATCTACCTGTACAGAAAGTTACAACCGTACACAGTATTGACGTTATTTTCACTTGTGATTTTAATGCACAAATACCTCTGTTTCCATCCCTCCAACCCTCAGCTCGTTGAAGCATTTGAGGGAGAAAAGCGCTCAGCCGAGCCATTGTTTGTTTATTTGTATGCTACTTGGCACTTAACCTCATGACAGCGGATTTCCTAAACGGAGAGCTGATGTGATCTGCCTCCTGAGGTGGGATTTGGCTCGATCTTAAACACACCCCTGATTGTTTTATCCTCCTCTCTCTGCACTTCTCTGGACCACCAAGTGTCATTCAAGTCCAACTGAAATGTTCATTATGTTATGTATAGTTTGCTTTATGCCATTTTTCCCTCCTTTTTCTTTAAATGCTGCAGCTGCTGCAAAACTATGCATCTAGTGCATTTCCAAAGATTGTCCTTAGAGCGGGTGTGGTTCAAACAGGTGTCTGTGAGGTGGGGGTCAAGGTCATTTTCCTCACTATTCAAACATTGAATAGACATCTTGTATTGTTTTATCAGCTATCAGCCCTCATTGAAAGGCGTTTAATGAAACGGTGAGACAAAGCAGAGTTTAAGGACATGTTAGCTAGTAAATGATATAGGATAAAAATAAAACTCAGAAATCTCTTTTAGTCCTTTTTATCATATCTACTTATTCACCACTCTTTCATAAGCACCTTGACACTGACTGGACCCGAAGAAGAAAGAAAAACCCTGAGCACTGTTTTCATCAGGCTTTCATAAACTTAGACAATTGAAGGTCTTTGGGGTATGGAGTCTTGAGTGTGCCACTTCAATAATACTTTTTTGCAGTGTTTTAAAACTATTAGAACAAAATTATAAGATTGTTTTAGTTTCAGTGTTTCTTACATTTTGCAATCATCTGCAAAAAGAATAAATAAATATTTGCTTATTTACAGATTCATAATTGGATATTTAAGCAGTCATACTACTAGTTTTTGATTAGGCTTTTATCGCAATATATGTTTTTGTTTGTCATGTGACGAACATATTTTATATCACAATGAATTTGCCTGTTGCATTTATATTTACAGTTTCAATGTGGTGATTACTTTCATTTGAAGGGTTGTATGAATAAGCAGCAACAGAGCAACATGAGCTTTTATTAGCTGGCTGTTTGGCTTCTGATCTTGTCTCCAAGCAAATTGTTTAACAGTTATTTTTGTATTTTTCAAAGTATTCATTAATAAGGAAAAAGTCTGAAATTATTTTGGTGGCACCTATGGGACTCCATACTCCTATTGACTCCGACAAAACACGCTAATTGAAATATCGACAAAAAAATGTTTTTCATAACAATTGGGGTCCAGTTTCACCGTCTAGGCGGCCATTTAAAAGCTTCAAGCGCCCTCTAGTGGACGAAAGGTAGAACTGCGACGTTACTTGAATTTTCTACACGTATTTAATCTGACAAACAAAAATAGCACTTTCTGACTGCGTTGTTATCATCAGGCTCATTTTAATCAGTTACACCTCAGTTTCTATGCTTTCAAAAAAAAAAAAAGTAATAAGTTCAGCATTGGCTTGTGGTGTTTTTAGACAGTTTACAAACTATCCAGGTGACAGTATTGACAGCCAGTCTGAGCTCAGTTTACAGTATTTATATTCTGGATCAATTGTTCATAAATTGTCAATATGGCAAGGAAAATTAACTCTTTTTGTAGGACTGGGATGGATTTCCTTTTTTGGAGGATGGATTTAAAATCATAACAGCAGATATGAAGCTTTTTTTGGACTGGATGACCTAACTTTAAATTGAATATCCTCCCGCTCCCTTCGGCCTGGTGTCTCTTGGCTTACTGTGATTGGCGACCGCAGGTCTCTTACTTAAGCCATAAAGTGAATAATGTGCGAGCTCACTCACCCATGCAGGAAATGAACAGACAAGGATCTTCTTGACCGGTCAAAAAAGAAAGGATCACCCGCATGAATGCTTTATAACATAAAGCTCTATTTTGTTAATATGTATATGTGTATATATTTATAAATATATATCGACAGATCTGTTCCTTGAGTATTTCCAAACATTGAAAGAGGGAGTCTTCTCTGACCACAAATATCAGAGTTTCCTTTTTTTGCTATTGACTTTATAAAATCAATCATGATCAACCAGCAGATTTAAAAAGTATTAGCTTCTCAGCAGATTATGGGACCGCAAAAAAAAAGAAAAAGTTGAAGACTTTAAACCCTCTGAAATGTATGTGTTGCTTAGCAGTTGTATGTTGAAAAAGTGTAATCAGGAAATCAGCTTGTGACACAATCACTGCTTTCTTTGTGCATAGACTGTAAAAAAAAGAAAAGAAAAAAAACACTTTGAAAAAAAGATCTATTTTTGTACAAAGGTAATTTTATCCCCTTGCTTGTGTACTCTGTTCCCTTGTCCTCCTGCGGGCTGTCGTATACGTCGTGGAAAAGCTTATTCAACAAGGCAATTTTCAGATTGAATGTTTTAAAAGGTGCGAGGAGTCGTCGGCACCTCCTGTCACCTTTACTTTGCCATTTTCAACCTGCGAGACGGGAAATGTCTTCATTATATTTGTCCATTTTTTTAAAAAGGCGATGGAGTTTTTGGTCATCTGTTCTTTGTGGGTTGTTCTCTGATGTTCTATCTTTCATGGACAGAAAAAATGGTTATTAAAAAAACTCAAAGTGAACTGACTGATGGTTGATTCTGTGTGGAAGATTGTCACGACTCGTTAAACATACAAAACTGGTTTTATTCAGGTTAGAGCTGTCAAATGCAAACATGTATTCCACAGAAACCCAGGTTGAGTACAGAGGACAGATGCTGCTGGTGTGTAGGACTACAATAGGAGCTACTGAAGCCAAAAAAAAAACACAATACGTCAATGTAATATGTACAAATCTAGACGACAATATATCTGCATTTGGTCACTGTTATAGTAAACCATTAAATTCTCAAAGGGGGCTTTAAAAAATGTTTTAATGGTACTGTCCAGCTGACTTTTTATTGACTAATTCTTGGCTTCCAAAACCTCAGATCCTGGTTTATTGCCCTAATATGACTTAAAAAACTTGCAATAAATCTTACCATAGACTTTTGAGATCTGGTATCTGATATCGGGGGGGGGGGGGGGGGAAATGAATGGATGGTGCCTTTTGAAAAAAATAACAGCCATAAGAATAAGGATATTTTTTTCCTCAATGTTGATGTTAAAGTCACCTCATTGAAAGCCAATCAACAATTACACAGACAAAATGAAAAAAAGAATGCAAAATAAACAGAAGAAAGGCCAAATAAGCACTACATTTATTGTACATGAGCAGATATGGGTGGTGGGTATGAAGCCCGGGACATCAGGGGTCAATGCAGTGTCAATAATACTGAAGCACCAGAACAGAGCATCAACATTGTATAACAAAAGTCTTGAAAAAAAAGTCCCTGTGGAGGCAACAAAAACCTGGCACGCTGACATGGGAATATCTCAGAGGGCAACGCGTCCGCTGCAGAAGATGTGGGGTGTTTTTTTTCCCGATGATGCTGTGTCTCATTTGGCTCTCCTTGCTGAATTTCCTTACGTGGAATCCCTCTGCATCACGCAGGAGCTCTCCTTTAGAAAAAAGTCCTTTCTTACAACAAAATAAAAAAAAAAAAAAAAGGAATATGATCGACCCCAAAAAGAGCTTAGCAGTCGCTTCTCCATAGCTTGATGGTTTTGTCGTTTTCTAAAGCCGCGGACGCGATGATGTTCTCTGTCGGGTGGCAGGCGGTCGATATGACGACGTCTGAGTAGGAGACAGGAAATAGACAGGGGGTCAATAACAGCGGTTCACAAATAAGATGTCTTGAATCTAATTCTAAAAAATGTGTGTGTGCTGTACCTGTGTGGCCCTGGAGCTTCTGCACAATCTCCTTTGTCTGCAGGTTCCAGATGTACACCATGTTGTCCTCGGAGCCGGACACGATCCACTGCAACAGAGCACACGCTTAGCTTAGCAACATTTAGCTTTTTTTTTTACGAAAATGTGGTGAAATATAAATGGATAAACTGCATGGTTGAGGCATTATCAGCAGGAAGGATTTATTTAATCATGAAGGTCAAAACAGACCATACACATTTTTTATTAATTTCTTACCTTTCCCCCGGTGACTGAGAAATTTGCGAATATGCAGTACTTCTCGTTTTTGTGGCCGCTGTACGTTTTCAAGCACTGAAATGTTGGAGGAAAAATAAAGAGTGAATTCTCTGCATTAGATAATCAGAGTTATAACCATCAGCAGCAGTGAAGTAAAAAATAGTCAACAAACGAGGAGAAAATTAAATACAATACTGTTTGGGTTGTTTTGTCTTTAACTACATGAACATGAGACTGTTTTACATAAATGTAAAAAAACAGAAACAATCTGACAGCTGATTTTTTTATTTAAAAAGATAATAATTGAGTATTTAAACTGAATGCTTACCTTTCCTTTGCTGTAATCCCACAGCTTCAGCGTGCTGGAATACAAAAAAAACAAGCATGTTAAAAAAACTATAGTGTTAAAACACACCAACATTTTAATAATTTCATCTGATGTGTATATTCTGTTTTTATAAAAGTGCAGCTGGTGCATACTGCCCTCTGCTGATGAGCATCCTGAACAGCATAATGACCACTACATACATTAAATACATTAAAACACTCACTTGTCCAGTGTAGCTGCCAGGATGTATTTTCCATTTGGGGAAAACTTCACAAAGGACACCGGAGGGTTATCGTCATCTGATCAGAACACAGTAACAGGAGTAGAGTCAGTACAGCATCATTAATGCCTTATTTCAAACAGAAACAATTATAATTGTTTGTCACTAATCAAAACACCATTTCCAAACCTTTTCTGCAGTTAAATACATGAGAATGGAATCAGTACTCAAACAATATCAAGATCAAGATTTACTGCGTGATCTTACCTATGAGTGTCTTTAAGCACTGGCCCGATGCTGTGTCCCAGATTCGGCTGGGAAAATAAAAATAAATAGTTTTAAGATGACATTTTGTTATTTCGCAAGACACTTAATATATAAAACACACTGCATTCTCGTCACTGCAGATTTTTGTGGGTTGGGCGTTTTTTTTTTTTTTTTTAAAGGGGCCCAATTATGCACCTTTTCAGGTTCCTTTTTGTATGTAGTGCCTCCACTGTGACATGTCTCCATGCTTAATGTTCAAAAAGCTCTTTATTTTTCTCATACTGCCTGTGCTGCAGCAGCTCTTTTCACCCTCTGTCTGAAACCAGAGCCCAGTCTGCTCTGCTTGGTTAGCTGGCCGGCTCTGTTGTGATTGGTCAACTGCTTAGAGATGTCCCGACCCCTAGCCTCACATACACTGTGTTGGAGCACTAGCCAATAGAAGTGTTGGTGTTATGTAGTGACGTCACTATATTAAGACACCAGTCAAATTGAGGCGTTTCAGATGGGGGGGGACCATTTACATGCACAAAAACCGGCTATATGACACTACAGCAGGGAAAACAAGCATAATCGGGCCTCTTTAAATATGAGTGTGGATGTATAAATACAAGTTAGTTTTTACCAAAGACCATCGTAGCTGCTGGACACGATCAGAGAGCCGTCTCTGTTGAAATGAACCTGCGGGAGGAAAAAGATAATCACATTACTGTTACAGGTTTTTCTCAAATCTAGAAATGTGTTAATAACCAACTGAACTTACAGCTGAGACAGGGTCAGAATGTGCCGGCAATGTTTTCAAACACTTCCCGGTCTTCACGTCCCATATCCTTACGCTCTCATCAAACTGGAAGCAAAACAATCACATGGTTTGTTTAGTAAAATGTCTGCTCTCCATTTCCTGCGTGTTTTATATCAGAAGCTTCTTCTACTCACCGATCCTGACACGATAAGGTTGGATTGGGGGTTGAAGTTGCAGCAGAAGACGTAGTTACTGTGACCTTTAAGAGTTTTTAAGCATTTCCCCTAGGAAGAATAGAAGCGTGGCGTTAAAAAATGACATTCTCTCAAGCCCTGATGTATGGTGGTGATACGAATATCCATATCATCTCAGTTTGATGAATGTTGATTCAAGCGTTCCCTTACCGAGCTGACATCCCAGATCTTCAAGGTTTTGTCGTCCGATGCCGACACCAGGAGGTTGGAGTCAGAGGACCATGCCACGTCAGAGATACCCTGAAGGATCATGGGTAATAGTTAGGAACATAATAGAACAGCAAGGATCATACCATAGCTCACTACTAAAGTGATGTATTGTACCTGATACATAAATGTAGGTTTCCAGGAGTTTCTCANCTGCCTCTCTGTCTGTCTGTCTGCCTCTCTGTCTGTCTGTCTGTCTGTCTGTCTGTCTGTCTGTCTGTCTGTCTGCCTGTCTGTCTGCCTCTCTGTCTGTCTGTCTGTCTGTCTGCCTCTCTGTCTGTCTGTCTGCCTCTCTGTCTGTCTGTCTGTCTGTCTGCCTCTCTGTCTGTCTGTCTGTCTGCTTCTGTCTGTCTGTCTGTCTGTCTGTCTGTCTGTCTGTCTGTCTGTCTGTCTGTCTGTCTGTCTGCAGCCAAATGACTCCCAGTGTAGAAGGAAATGGATTCTCAGCAGAGTGATAACAGAGGAAGGAGAGCAGATTCATTACAAATGAGGAAGAGACACATGTACAGTTTGTATAAACAGCTACATTAGTTAAAGGACAATCGTGAAAGGTCACACATAGAAATGCATGGAGAGAAATAACAAGGAAGTAACTTAAATGTAGTTAATAAGTTTCTATTGTTATAATCATTTATAACATTACAACTGTGATAAATCATGCAGTGACAATGAGACAAACAGGCATCAATAATTAAGATAATAATATTGAGTTAATAAAGATTCACTCAAAATCTATTTCATTTCAGGCAGTTTAACTACTTTGAGACATCTACAATATTACAGTGTACAATTCACTTTCTTCACTACGTTTTCCAGGTTAAAATAAGAAAATGACCAAGTGCTTTTCAGTTGTTTAAAGAACTTACTTTTGCACAAGTTAGCATATGAACATAAGCAAAGGAACTTGTTGATACTTGCTAGATCTTTTTGCCACTGTGATGCCTCCTTTAATGTTCCTCAAGAATATCAAACTCGCTTACTTCTTTGCCGAACCTGTGACAGGCAAATAAACAAAACAAAACATACAAAAAAGAACACAGCACAGCTCACACACCATAAAACAAGTACAAGTAAAAACAATAGACAATTTAAAAGCCACGCTCTAAAAGATGTTAATACGCTAAGGAGAAGAGGTGGGTTTTAAGAAGCGATTTCAAAACAGGCAGTGTGGACGCCTGTCTGATGTGCAGGGGCAGATCGTTCCACAGTGTGGGAGCCGCTACAGAGAAGCAACGGCCCCCCTCTGAGATCACAGAATGTCCTGTCCTCTGTTAAATATTCTCAAGGCATTACGTCTCAATCATCAGTCGTCCATTTCCTTTCTCTGTTGCAACGTGAATTTAACACGGAGGACGTGCTCAACAAAGTGGTAACTGTAGTTCAGAAAGGTCACATTTCCATATATCCAAATTGCTGAGATGTGACATTTCGTTTCCATTCGTTTCACCTGGCCTTTCCCTATTACACACACACACACACACACACACACACACACACACACACACACACACACACACACACACACACACACACACACACACACACACACACACACACACACACACACACACACACACACCTCCTCCATCTCCCTGTCAGAGGATGATTGATGTCATTGGGTGTGGTGCGGGATAATTATCTCTTCTTCAAAGCCTCATCTGGCCCCCATCTGCTGGCCTTTAGCATCGTTAGCACAGCCACAGAGAACAGAGAGGTCTAACTACCCTGCTAGACTTGCAATATGTACTAAAAGTCTTCTTGGCATGCAGGTTATTTTCCAGCCACAGCCGGATTTACATTCATTCCAAGCAACAGACTCTCTATTGCTAGCAACAGAGAAGTTCTGTTGGAGAAGTTTATCCAAACACACACACCTGAGCTACAGTTCTTGGGGTAAGGCGGAGTATCCCAAACACATGTTCCAAGCCACTAAACTACAGACTCCCTCTACTTGACGGCTGCTGATGGTGTTAATGTCTTCCCGCAGTGTTTGTCATGCTCAGCCCAAGACATTGCCGTTCAAAATAGCTCTAAACGCGTGTTCATATTGGAAATGGCACCGTGTTAAAGCAACTCCCCGGTGGAGGGACCTTTTTGGAGGACCACCCAGTTGGTGAGGGGGTTGAGGTGTGAATCCAACCCAAATAAAACCCACATCTACCCACATGCATTTATTCAAAGATCTATGTATTACCAGATGACGTTGCACTGTTGCAGCAAGAGTTGGGCCACGTCCAACATTTTTGTCGAACCCCACAATTGTTTCTATTAAGGTACATTTTTTAAAATACTCTTTCAAATTTAAATGAACGGTCAGCAGATGGCTAGCTTAGCATAGCACTGTAAACAAACGGAAATGAATTTAATAAATTATTCATATCTTTTCAATAAGCTGATTTTAAAGGTGCTTGTAGGCAGATTTGGTTACTATTGGACCGAGCCATGTTACCCGTATCCAGTCTTTGAGCTTGGCTAAGCTTTATTTTTACTGGTCAAATATGAGAATTATATTTATATCCTCGTCGTTACTCCAGCAACAAGTGGATACTTTTCATTCCCAAAATGACAAACTACTTTTATTAAATTCAGTCTGAAACACTTTTCGAGGTGGTCTTGTTGCATTTAAGTTGGGAAGCAATTGAACATTTTTCCCTTAAGTATCTGAAAATAGTAACAAAACTGGAAAAGTAATTTCAGTAGTGTTCAAATGGAACTGAAGCAGCGCAGTTGTTGTGTGGGACATTTTCAGATTTGCTCAATCCTGTTAACTGCTACTGTTGCGTTTGCTGAGTTGATAAGCCGCATTTCTGACAGCACTTGAAGGCAGCATTTGTTCTTGTGTTTTTCCCCTGTTAAACTCAAAAGCCCTGAAGTGATGATGACACCTCTCCTTCTTACTTCACGCTGGCTCCAGGTAGTTAGAGCCTCTCTGCCCACAGGATGACTCAAGGATCATAACCACAGAGATTGGTATTTGTTTTGTTCGGAAAGCACCTGAGGAAACTGTTTGAGTATGTTGTTGTAACACGGGTTGGGCTGGTTTATTAGCCTGCTGCACTTCCTCAACTCTAAGGACTTACTACCTGGAGCATGTGGTGAATTTGAACTTGAATGGATGTTTAGGATTACTCTAGATTAGATCACATGCTGTTTTCATTAATGCCACTGTCTCAAATCCACATCTAAGGACTCCTGCAGAGAGGAAGTGCCTCTAGTGTGACATTAGGAGACTTTAAAAACCCTGTGTTTTCACTGCAATCTCAAAATGGTCATCAAATCTGAGCTTTTTGCTCACAGAATGCTCCTTAATGATGTTTTTACTCCCTCTTTCTTGACAACAATTCCATTTGATTCACTGGCTGTTCTATCGGCATCACACAGAGATTTACTACGTCACCAATGCAGAAGGATAGCTTTCACTATAGAAACAATCAAAGAAGATTCCTTAGTTCTGTTCACAGCATCGTTGATGGCATCTGCAAATGCAATTGGGAACTAATATATAGAATATAATAGAATGGAAACCCTTTATTGTCATTATACAAAAAATATACAATGACATTTTTGAATTTATTGAAATCTCCAATATCAACGTAAGAGCTTGTGCCTCTTCGGGGGGGTGCTAACACTTAACCATAAACGTGATCGTTTACTTTCTCCGTCTTTATATGTAGATATGGCTTTTTCTCCATTAATCTCCGTCACGTTGTTTTCATAGCAACAACAACAACTTCCTGTCAACTGCGCTACCTCTCCTTCAAAATAAAAGCATGTCCATACAAAATAGAAAGCCAAGCCAAATTACACTTAAGATATACAACTGCAACGAAAGTAACACACACAATGCAATATCCTTTTCAATTTCAAAGAACACAAATTGGGTTGTATTAACAAATAACTATAAAACAACAATACTGTAGATTAACAAAGAGAATGCCGTGAATGTGCCCCCCCCGCCCCCCATTTTAGATGTTCCAACTTTTTTTCAGTGCACTTTAAAACACAGACTCTTAACGGCCTTAAAATGCTTTAAACTGCAAGTGATCATATGAACATAAGAGGCAAAATATGGAATGATTTGGTAAGGCAAGCTTTCTCTGAATGGATCATTGGGTCACTGTTTAAAAGGTTTCTCGTGTATTTAGGTTTTGAAGATGAAATACGTAATGGGTCAACAGACCTGTCCTGTTGCATTTGGCCTAGAAACAATACTTATGATCCATCTTTTGCGTTCTTCAGTGTCCCAAAATGTATTGTGGATCCCTTGTCTGTGTTTGGTTATCAGTTTGGCTGTATTTTAAAACCAGGCCCCTGAAATAGGACACTTTCAGGTTTTGATTCATCACTTCTAGCTAAAAGAAAACCAATGCCAGAATTGAATGAACTCCTAACCATCTGCCTTCCACTGTTTTCAATGCTGTTCACTTCTACATCCATGAGTCTTTTTCCAGATAGAGAACTTGTCCTTGTGCAGCTTTGATCAACACATTGTTGCTGCTTCTATCAAACACTGCCACATTCAAAAGGGACGTGTGCTGGGAATAGAACTGAAGTCTGAGTATTTCACTTAAAAGCTTTTTTTTCTAGGCCGATAGAAGTCCTTCATGTCTTTCAGTCTGCTGTCCTCCTTTCTCTATGTTTTGACACCATGTTCCACATCCCTGTTTCACTTCAATTCATGCCAGTGGGTTTGAATGAGGACTCAAGGTTGGTATCTGCGTGAAGTGTGTGTGATGTGATGCCAGTTGTGTGGTGGAATGCAGTTTATTCCAGCCATTCTCAGCATATTCTGTCCTTTCCTGCAGCGGTGAATGATGCTCGGATGTCATGTTTGTGTTGAGTTACAGGAGGAGAGGGGCAGTGGTAGTGGTGGGGGGTGGGGCTTACAGGAAGGAAGGCTTGCTGGAATATGATTACATCTCCATGTAAACAGGGCAGCAGTAGGAAATGGATCCAGAGATCCTCAGGGTATCAGCCACTGAGGCCAAGTAATATGATGTCCAAATGTGCTTATTTGTCAGGTTTGTCCATAG